GGCGACCGAATGAGTATTTACGTAAAGAACTCTCAGCAGAAAGTTGAAGTGATGGCCGATGCATACACGAACAAGATCGAATTCCACGATGTTTCTTCACTGCAAACTTATAATGACCTCTACTTCTACCTACCTCAAACCTTTCTGGGAAATAAAGTAGGGATGGGTTTATTTTCTCAAATTCATGTTTGACGAGTGTGCAGATTTTTTTTTTCAAATTTATCAAATCTGTCAATTCAACTTATTGGCAAAGCAATCGTACGTTATTACATCATTCATCGCTTTTGTGGAAGTTGTTGTAAGCCTTTCTTGAAGCGTACAAGAGTTCTTATAGAACTAAGCAAGACTAAGGTGTTGGTCAGAACTGTTTAATAAGGAATATTATTTATGTTGGGTAATTGTTATGTGTATTTATTCAAAAAAGTTGACGAGTTATGGAGGCTCATTGAAGTTCAAGATCACTCAGGGGTATGGACAGGACGTTGCCTACAATCCGAAAAATTATCCGCTGGTTGAGATCCAAGTCAGTTACTTGCATACTTGTCAACATATGAACACGCTTTTTAGTATTTAAGGTTTTTTATTATAACTAACTACAAATTTGCAAGAATTACTGGCATGTTCTTTGTAGAACCTGATTAAAGAAAGTTTCTAATGAATTACAAACAGGGTGAGCATGAAACCATAGTGCACGAACCATATCACCAGTTGAACTACATGACTTCAATGCAAGCTCTCCAATTCAACGTGCCAATCAGCGAGGTGTGTAAATTATTTATATTACAATTCTTTTTAAACAACTAGATTTTAGAAACTGATTATTTTGTTAACTTTTAATAAGCCTAAACCCCTAAACTTTTATGTAATTTTCTTGATCGTTAAAGTGGTCATTGGTTAATTTTATAAAAGTGATTGCGGAACTTTAATTTTTTGTTAAATAGAGTTATTGGAAGAGATCGCCAGATCATGGTGAAGTGAGTAGAGAAGAACTGATGGATGTTCTGAGTCACATCACACACATCATCGTCAAGGCTCAGTTCGCTCACAACATTCATTACACTGGGTACTGATATATTTATCAAATTATCAAATTTATGTTAAGTTTCCCAAAAAATTTCAATTTATTTTGCTAACAAGTAAAAATGTCTACCCAAATCGTTTAGTAACTTTTGTAAGTATATATTAGCAGACTGTTGGGTAACTTTGTATTTATTATCATCAAGCCTATATGATCCTATTTAGTTAGCTAAAACTTGAAGGAGCCCTTTCAATATAAAATATTCCCGAGTTTAGCTCCATAATAAAATGCTTTAAACTATTTTTTATACATGCGGAATTTTCTTTTGCCCTGAAATTTGAATCAAAATATTTTAAAGTAGTAAATTAATAAACATTAAATTTACAATTATACATTAATATTAATAAACATTAATAAACAATAAATTTTGAATTTTTATTATAACAAAAAAAATTGTATAAATTACTATTGAATAAGTCCGAGCTTAATTTTTAGTCTTTGGTGAACATTGGCTATTCGATATCTAACAGTTCTAAATAGTTTAATTTGAACTGACAGACTGGAAGATGTTTCACTGGACGTCGGAATGAAAAGAGAAGGATGGGGCGGTGAGAGGATGACGTCAGTGGAAGAATGCCAGTGCCCTCATGGTTATGTTGGACTCTCTTGCGAGGTGTAAACACCAACAAATAAATTTTTTTCTTTTTTTTCACACAATTTTCAAATATCGTCACATTCTTCATTTTGAAATTTATGTATTTAAATTTAACTTTAGTCTCATAAAGCGTTTGTTAAATTTTTAAAAATATTTTTTAACATTTTCGCATCATCATTATAAAAATAGTTGTATTTGTGATAAAAATTCATTTTTTTCTATTTTGATTTTTCCCTAATACTACAACAGCCCTAAGATTAATGTTTCGAACAGATTTTACGATATCATTTTAATAACTAACTCAATAACGTTTCAGACATGCGCTCCTGGTTTTGATAGGATCGCCCAACATGGTACTTCAAAACATCAGTGCCTCACATGTAACTGCAACGGTCACGCAAGTCAATGCGACCCTCAAACTGGAGCATGCTTGGTTTGTCTGGTTTTTTAAGATTTTTTTTTAAACTGTTTTATGTTTTAATTATTAATAATTTTATCGATTATTCCATGTTAACTGTTTTCATTAATTGTGATAGTTGTTTTTCAGGCATTAAAGTTTAATGTCCAGATGTTTGATTAGGTTGTGATGGGCTCTATATTCCATGGGCTTTATATTCCATGGGCTTTATGTTCGAAGTTTCATTTGCAATAACTTTCTAATATAGCAATATCCATGTAATATATTCAATTAGGCTATTCAGACTTATTAAATATAATTATTTTATTTATTCGTTTGGTTTAATTTTTTTTTATTATTTTTTAAAAATATTGTATTAATTTGAGTTCTTGAAAATGTTTTATTATCCGTGGTTTGAGTGTACAAAAATTGCTTTTAAGAGATGTAAAAATAAATCAAAATCCTATAAACATCCTTAATGACAATTACGACAGAACTGCCAGCACAACACAGAAGGTAGCCAGTGCGAAGTATGTGCTCCTGGTTACTTCGGTGACGCAACTAGCGGACCTGATGGCTGCCAACCCTGTCCATGCCACAGACTACACCCTCCATATCATCAGGCGTATGTTGACATGGCAGTTACAAATCTTCGACTCTTTTTATTAATACCCATATTGCTGATTCAACTGAAAGAATAAAGTCTGAGTGGGTCTTGTAAGATTTATTTGGAAGCTAATTTAAGTTAATATATTTTTTCTTTGCTCATTAAGAAAAAACAAAAATATAACGAAAAACAAAAAAAAATACAATAAAAATGTAATATTTTCATCAAGCTTATTTATAGGCTTGCTATATTTGTAAAGTGGCTTGAATTAGATTATGAAACACCTAGCTCTCTTATGTAAGGAAGAAGTTTTAAATTTCCTAAGTATTATTTGCTCTCATTTATTTACTTGTGTATTTATGATGTAATTTAATAACATTTTCGACAAATAATCAATCAAATCATTGAAAGTAATACTGTACAACGTTTGAAGTAATTTATAAACATGAACTCAATATGGGCATATCGGATTGTAGTAATAAAGTTTAACTATGTAACTATTATAAAATTTAGTGTGTATTTTGAAATTGTCATATAATTCCAATGTTTTGAAGTTTGATCATTAATTTGATAGCCACGCAAGTGAATGAAATTATTTTCAGGATAACATGCGCAGTGCAAGGAAGAGAGGTTGTCTGTCTCTGTCCCGCTGGCTACGAAGGTGATCGCTGTCAAAGGTTTGTTGCTTGGTTGATAGAGTTTTCATCATTTAATTTATTGGGACTCTTTTTCGTTTCACGTTTCGTTAATTTTTTCACCACCTACCGCTTCAAACCATTATTCAGTCGTGTTTTAGCAGCTATTTTAAAATTAAATTAAATAACTGTTTGCTGTTGTTGTTGTTGTTTGTATCAACTTCATTGTCATTAAAAACAAGCTTAAAACATTTCTTGATTATACAGATGTTCTACTGGATACCGAAGAGATGATTATGAAGGAACTTGTGCATTCATAGGACACCAGGGTTTGTTACGGGGCACTGTTTATTTGTTTCATTCGTTTTTCATTTTTTCAAGTTGTAGCTACATATTTGAAGTTGCAAACGGAGAGCAGTCTTAATTGTTTACAATGATGTACTTCAGAAATTCTGTACTAAGCTCTTTTTTTATTTTTTTATACTTATGGTATTAGAAGTAAAATAACACGTTTTGGTTTTTGTATTTATTCCTACATGCAAGATGCAAGTTGTCATAAAGCTGAGTTGGAATGGTGAAGTCAATTATACAATACAACTATTGTCTGCAAAAATTTTTCATTATTAACGTGGTCACACAGAATTTAAAATGAAACAAGAATAAAATATATCTGATGTGTGGTGAAATATGAAATATGCTTTTTAGGGTGATTTAAATGACCTAAAGATAAGGTCGCTATTTTTCAGTGTCGGTTTTGGCTGGGCAACTCATTAAATTTGCCGACATATAAATAAGAATCAATATCAATATCAATAAGAAACTTATATAGCGCCAATTAAATGTTCTCAGAGGCGCTATCGTAATTATATAAACATTGAAGTCTACAATACTATTAAAAAAAACACAACACCTTAACTAAAATTATCAAAATTTAACAGTGAACAAATATGTTTTTAATTCTTTTTTAAATATTCTAAGAGACAGTCCGGATGATCGCAATGACTGTGACGAATATAATATAAATATTAAAAGCTATTCTTACCAGCTTGCTGCTAATAATGTAGTTGATTTTTCAAACCGTCTGCTTAGTTGGCGCTCTAATATAAGCAAAAACAGAATAAAATCGGTTTGAGATTGTGCAGCTATACAAATAAACAATTAGGGAAGTTATGATCTTATGACGTCATTACTTTGCGGGCTGGTTGAACTTTTATTTAAAAATGGAAATAACTTCAAGGTTTTAGTAATGCGCTCTGAAGTTGTGCCGATAGTGGAGCTCCAAAAGTTTTGATAGGTATATGCAAGATAGATTTACCGATAAAACAATTTTCAGCTCTAGCTGGCACGACGATTATCAGGTTTAGCAAGTCAAGTCAGTGAATGCTTTAAAGATTTTGCAATTTGCGGTTGAACGTTTTATAAGATTTTTCCGATAGAATTAAAAAAACATCAAGTAGGGAATATTGAAAAAAAAACTAAAACCCGTTTTTGAGTTAAAACGTTTATCGAGCTATAAATGAGCACTCTAAAAATATCTGCATAACGTGAATAATAATGATAGTATTTTAATAACATTCACCATATCAGTGTAATTATTATTGTTGTTGCCGTTGCTATTATTACTTTATTATTATTGTTAATAAGTTTTTTAACATTCGAGATTTGTTTTATAGTACGGCCTTTTCCGCCTAAACCTGGTAACAAACCACAATCACCATACCCAGGTTATGAACCCCATGCTGGATATGAGCCACATCCCGATAACGAGCCACAGCAACCACATCCTGATTACGAACCTTGGCATCCTTATCCAGGTTACGAGCCACAGCCTCCACATCCTGGTTACGAACCTCAGCCTCCACATCCTGGTTACGAACCTCAGCCTCCACATCCTGGTTACGAGCCACAGCCTCCACATCCTGGTTACGAACCTCAGCCTCCACATCCTGGTTACGAACCTCAGCCTCCTTATCCAGGTTACGAGCCACAGCCTCCACTTCCAGGTTACAAACCTCAGCCACCACATTCTGGTTACGAGCCACAGCCTCCACATCCTGGTTACGAGCCACAGCAACCACATCCTGATTACGAACCTTGGCATCCTTATCCAGGTTACGAGCCACAGCCTCCACATCCTGGTTACAAACCTCAGCCTCCACATCCTGATTACGAACCTCAGCCTCCACATTCTGGTTACGAACCTCAGCCTCCACATCCTGGTTACGAGCCACAGCCTCCACATCCTGGTTACGAACCTCAGCCTCCACATCTTGGATACGAACCTCAGCCTCCACATTCTGGTTACGAGCCACAACCTCCACATCCTGGTTACGAGCCACAGCCTCCTTATCCAGGTTACGAGCCACAGCCTCCACATCCTGGTTACGAGCCACAGCTTCCACATCCAGGTTATGAGCCACAGCCTCCACATCCTGGCCACGAACAACAGCCTCCACATCCAGGTTACGAATCACAGTCTCCACATCCTGGCCACGAACCACAGCCTCCACATCCAGGTTACGAGCCACAGCCTCCACTTCCAGGTTACAAACCTCAGCTTCCATATCCAGGTTACGATCCACAGCAACCACATTATGGTTATCCGAAAGACTGTGAACCCGGAACTGTCGGTCTTAATTGTGAATTATGCCTGCCGGGTTTCTACGGAGATCCAGCTAGGGATGTTCCGTGTCGGATGTGTCCATGTGGAAGGAGTGCTAGTGAAGGGTTTGAACGTCTTCTGTTGTGTGTGTTGTAAACCTTTATGTGCTGTTGTTTGTGTGGTAAATATCTATGTGCAGTTGAGCATTGTTGGGTCGTTGCATATTATGTGTGGCTTGTTATTATTATGTGTTGTGCCTATAAGTATCAATTTTGGACTTTTTCATTTAGTTATTTTTTTCCTCACTTTTTAGTTACAAACTGTTTTATTTAGCCTAATTTCAACTAACGGCTGTTTATCATTGCAACTATTAAAATAAAATCATTACTAGACTAATTTTTTTCATTTGTTTATGGCATCAATTTCTTATCATTTACGATATATCTTTATTTATTTTTCTAAAATATTTTTTGTGGGACCATTTTTAAAAATCTGTTTTTATATTTTGAGCAAAAAAATGAATAAAGTGAACTAAGAGAGCAATTGAGCATCCACCTCATCTAACACATTCAACAGAACTTTACTGAGATGTCGCTTGGACTATGATGGTCAGCCGACGTGTGATGAATGTGAGGCAGGAAAAATGGGAAGAACCTGTGAAGAGTGAGTATGGGTGGTGGTGGTACTATTGGGGATGATGCTGTTGATTGATGATGGTGGTGTAAGTGGGTTTCTGAGTATTTAGATATGTGATGCAAAATATAAACCACGAATTTTATGATCAGATGCAGTAGCGAATACGTCAGATCTCACTCAGGCTGCATACCCCGCCATTACCATCACCACGAACAAGGTTTTTACATTTCTATAAACATCAATATAGATAAATTGAAAATTTTCTCTTGGTATTTTGCACAGTTAATTCTTCATCTACATTTTTACAATCCCGAACCCTGCCACTGCACCAGCAGAATCAGGCGTCTTCATCGTTGCATTGCCATGCCGCTTATCAGCTACGTAGCTCCATTTATTTAAATAAATTTATTTATTATTTGGTTTTAATGAGCATCAAATAAATGGGGAAATAAACATTTTTAATACTTTCAACATTGTTATTGAAGAAAAGATTAGTTATATTGAAGGGAAGTCAATGCATGTCAACAGTTTCGCATATCCATTTGCATCGGCATTATTACATGAAAATTTCTTCACCAACACTCTCACACCAGCATCAATACGCAAATGATTTGCAGACTCATCTCAGGCTCAGCCAGGGGCATCCGATGATCACCAGCCGAAGCATGCTGGGACGCCGGTTGAGGTCTACTTGTCCAACACGTACTTTGTTGGTGATGCCATGCAGATCACATGCTGCATCGATCCGAGCGTTCAAGTGGACTATTTGAAACAATTTGTTGTCTAAATGTTTGCAGTCATATTTATAAATAATGTATGCATGTTCCGTTGTAAAAAAAAAACTTCAACGACAAGATAAATCATTTTAAAATTTAATGCGTATACGTACATTACACATAATTTCAAATTGCACGCACTTTTACAGCCGCCCTACAACATACACTGGGAGTTCAATGGCAGCAAGCATCTGCCAGGGAACATGGCGCACCTGCCCTACCAGCACACCATCTACACAGCACACGTGTTGACGCACAATGTTGGTACCTATGCATGCGTCGCCACGCGTCCTCATCAGAATGTTGCCGTAGGAAAAACCTATTTCAAGATCCATGTTGTCGGTTGGTTGATGAGTGGAGAGGCTGGCTGGTTGTTGTGGAGTTTCATCGTGCTAACAGTTTCTTGAAACACCGAATTGTTTAATTTCTATGAAAAAAAGTTTTAAAAGATTTTGTTAGCTGCACTTGTAATATATGATTTTATAATTTAGCGATTATTTTTAAATGTATTTTGGCTGTTTTGTGTTTATGTTTTAATACCTCAGCGTTTTCACCATTTGAATAAAATTCAATCAAATCATATGTCACTGATTTGACGTACACTCAAATTGTATTCCTCACACACACACACACACACACACACACACACACACACACACACACACACACACACACCACAACACACACTCATCAAACTTTTTTTTGAAGAGCGCAGTCCAGCAGTCCACATAGATGTGAACCATCAGCAGAGCGAAGGTAGGTTGGGTGAAGATGTGGTGCTCACCTGTCGGTCCTCCCATCACACGGGCGTCAGAGGCATTCAGTGGCATCGACCCGGAGGTGGCCTGCCAAAAGGTGGTCTATGGAGGAGTTGTTGTCGGTGTGGAGTTGGCTGGTTTGCTGTTTGTTTCGTTCGTTTGTTTTGTTGGTTTGTTTCAATTGAAATTTGTTTGTTCTTTTGGTTGGGAGAAAAATTTTGAATTAATTGATTTGCTTATTTTAAAATTGTTTTTTTTACGTAAATTATTATTTTTGTTTGTTTTTGTAAATTTATTTTGTGATAATTTGCTTAGACGCAATGATTTTTGGTTACTTATAGATGTTATCGAGTCGCTTAAGCTATTCACAACAAGTATGACACGTTTATCACTTCAATCAAAATCAAATAATCTTCTAGAAGTTCTTCTCAACTTCGATCTTAGGTGTTTTGAGACGTGACGACCAGCTGATCATTCCATCTTGCAATCCGGAAGATGGAGGGAAGTACATGTGCAACGTTACTGTTGAGGATCAGTATGGTGTACATCACGAGTACAACTTCGTCACTGTCCACATGTCCAAACTTCCAGGTGGGCTTTCCGCGGGATGCTTTCCCGCTGTTGTTTTCAGTTATTGCATACATGATAAGTACTTGTATCGTTAAAATATTTCGATGTTGATTTGCATTATCCAGCAGTTAAAAATCAATTTAAATTTAAGAAATCTATTTGTCAAGAATCTTTTTTTAAAAACAAATTAAATTTTTGTAAACTGAAAAACTGTTTATTTTTGTGTTGCCATTTTGACGTTCTTAAGGCGAATACATATACATATAAAGGTATTTACATAAACACAACCAAACATTCAAACACAATACAGACCTCACATACACGCGCACACACGCGCACACAAACACACACACATATATATACACACACACACTCAGCTCTGCCAGCAGGTTCCACGCACCAGCAACATCACCAGCATCAGCAGCAGCAGAGGAACTTTGTGGTGGCCCTCTTGAACGATCGGGTGACCATCGAGTGCAAAATCAATGCCACCCTTGATGGGAACCATCATAATAACGTGGTCACGTGGTCCAAGGTCGATGGTCACATGACCTCTAATGTCAAAGTCAGTTAACGTTTTTAGGATATTAAGATATGAGTAGAAATAACAAAAAAATGAAGACAATTTAAAATTTAATTAATTAAATTGAGAAAACAAGCTCATACATCATCATATTTATGTTTTAAATTGTTGCATAGTGTGCATTAGATTATATTTTGTTCCCCGACGAACCACCGACCTGACAGACGAACGGCTCGCACCTGGTAATTGAGAGTTTGAGTGCTGACGAGGTGGGCACGTACAAGTGCACGTTGAGGCATTCACACGGAGAGGTCCACAGCACTGTTAACGTGCAACTTTATGGTCAGTTGGAATTTCGCTCAATTTTAAAATTACTAATTTGTTGATAACGGTTTTCAAATTAGATAATTTTAAATGCATTTAAGATGAATGTTATCATTCGAACTTTAAGAAAGCAGCTTCTTCAAGCAACAACATTCGCACCTTTCAATCCAGCTTACGACTCGATGGCGAACAAGGGCATCCACCCACCTCAGCAGTCTTTCGAACCAGGCGGTACCATCACCCTTCGTTGCCTGGCCAATGAGATGTCGGATCGTGTCACGTGGTCCAGATCTATGAGTCAAGGTCACAAGTTGTCTCTACCCCAGTACGCGAGGGTGATGAGGGAGATGCTGGTGGTGGAGCACGCTCAGCCAGGGGATGAGGGGGTCTACCAGTGCACCGTGGTCAAGAAAAGCGGTGAGGTCATCCACTCCTTTGCTCACGTCAAATTGTTGGGTTCGTGTTTTGCGTTTGTAATTGTAATCATATACACTCCATAAAGTTGGCTTCACCAATTTTAAAAAATGAATCTGAATGAATGAATAACTATTGAATAACTAATAACTAAATAAAAATGAATAACTATTGATTTTTTTTTCATTTTATTACAAAACTTGCTCACGTTCTCACCTCTCTGCAGTTCCCTTGCAACCTCGCATCGAAACGTCGAGACAGGTGGTCAGCATCGGGGACAACGTGGAGCTGACCTGCCTGTTGGAGCATCGCATGGATGATGTGGTGTACACGTGGGCTCGCATGAATGGACCCGTCTGGGGCAGCAACATTCAAATAAGTGGACCCAAGTTAATGTACGTCTCAGATGCTGGAATCATTTTTCAGAAAATATTTCTCAAGTTTCTATTCTACATACACAAAGTTTAATTCTCACAGCTCCAGTAAAGTTACAAAAATATAAATTAATTATGAAATTTATGTTTTATTTTTTTATTACTATTCATTATAATTATTAAATCATAAATCATTGCCTCCGTTATATCCGTCATCTTCATTCTCACTATCTTTTCCATCATTGCCAATCAACGACATCATCACCTTCATCATCTTCTTCCTTCTCCTTCCCATTCCATTCCACAGAATCTGCAACTTCCAGGAAGGAGATGAGGACCGCTACATGTGTGATGTGAAGAGGAATGACGAACATGCACACGCATCCATTGATCTTTTCGTGAGAAGGACTGGTGCGTTACATGGTTACACTGTCGCAATTGTTTGTTTTGTTGTTATTGTTGTTGTTGTCATTGTGGTTGTTGGTCGCAGTTGTTTGTTACGTTGTTGTTGTTGTTGTTGTATTTGTTGTTGTTGTTGTTGTTATTTTCGCAGTTGTTCTGTCTCTTGGCTGGTTTCGTTGTCGGTGTAATTTTTAATTTGTGTTTCTCGCTGCTGCTGATGGTTCTAGCACGAATAATCG